GTCAAATTAATTGTAATAGTTGTTAGTTTAAGTACTATTAGATCGCAAATCCTAATCATTTTCAGCTCCTAATCATCAATTAGTGAGTGAACTCACGTTTAGATAATTTACTTTAAAATAAATAAAACAAACTTAATTACATATAAAAAATCACAGTAAGTATTGATTTCCATTCAATTATAATTCAATTTTACGATATTTTTGATTATCAGATTTAACTGTATTTTATGCAAACGTTAAAGCACTCAAATATTATTAAATTATTGTTAATTAATAATTGTTTGCCAAACATAATCCATAGCATTATTATAGCAGGATTACCAGTAAAGCTCTAATGCAATAAATCTTAATATAGTTTAATTAAATCACTTATAAGTTATACAATTTTGCAATAATGTTGAGGACCAGTCAATTGGAGACCATTATCAACATTTAAAAGCTATTAATTAGTTTACTGTAACTCCAAAGGCATTAAAGTTAAACATTATTAATATTACTTAATGTTGACTGAATTGGACCTCAAAATTGTTGCAAAAAATGTCATTTTTCAATACAAGTGATCATTAAATAAAATTCCCAAAACCTATGATTAGATCAATAAAAAATACAGTATAAAAAATATAACAGACTTTCCTGTCGTCAAAACTATAGCAAAACTTAATGCACTTTTAATAACTCAATTAAATGTATGTCAATTCATATTTTGCGATATTTAAAAAAATTGTACACAATTTTAGTTCAGAAATTGCAACAAAATATGTTATAGAAATGTTTGACAACTCTTTAAAGTAAATTCAAATTACAGATAGAGTTAAAAATATATGCAAAAAGTTGTATGAAATAAATAATGGTATATAAAAGGGATGACAGACTGTCGAGTCGGGCGACCACGTCGTCGATCACACATTGTTTGGTATACGAGTCCTCAATAGTCGGGTCGTAATCAGTGACGAAATACGACTAAACAAATCAATATAATTATAACACGCGTTAAAATCAAACACTTTTTGTTTTGTCTATGAAAGCAATGCATTAAAAGATAAATTTGCGTTCATCTCAAACCCACTCACATGTCCCCCACCTCTCTCTCTCTCTCTCTCTCTCTCGGTGTTCAATATATAGATTTAATGACACTTTGATTGCATTTAAATTGACTAAAAGTTTTAATATTTATGCCATTCGTTACTTTTGAGCGCTTTTGCGAACAAAAACACTGCAAAACATAGACTTCAGGCAGACTTCAAAATGTGTGTCAAACGAGACATTTGAGACAATTGTCTGCATTTATATCACAACACTAATTATGAAACCTTGACTCTGAAAACATGTTTAAAAAAAATTTTAAAACATGTAAATTAAGAAACAATAATGCATTTAAATTTTCTATATTTGCAGCAACAGGCGCATATCGCATTGAATGAGCTAGCACATATTCTATAGCCACAAGATGATAAAATGCAATTAAAATGGTAATTACTTGAATGAATTGAATGGTGAGCGCAGACTTGCCGACACCACCGCCGCCCACAACCACTAACTGACAGCAAAAATAAATAAAAAGTTAGCATAAGTTTGTCAGAAATACAGCGACAATACAAGTGTCAGATCATAGCATATGATAGAGAAATGGCTAATAAATGGCTAATCAAATGGTCAGTACTTTATATGTTTGACTAAAGCTCTGGTTTTCGTGATTTCGTGACATCTTTTTCGACAACACTTTTCGCACAACAAAAACAAAACAATAAAAACTTTTCGCACTTTTTCTCCGCAAACAAAACAATCGGTGTTTTTAAATAACAAGTGATTTATGTATTCAATCGCTAAACGTGTAAATGATTTGTCGGTTCACTCATCGAATGCACTGTTGATTAGATGAGAGAAAATAACAATGCATTTAAAGGCAATCGATAGCTAATAATAAGTGATGAGTAAAAGTGACACACAATCAGTGCATTGAATAGCCGTTAAAACGCGAGAATGTATTCAATGTGTTTCAATTTGGTTGCATTTGAGTGTCATTTCATTGATTGCCAACAATTTAGTAGACATTCAGTGAATCAGTGATTCATTCAATTCATGCAAACATTCGCTGACTGTATGTCACAAAAGAGAGACACTCTCTCTGTCTGTCACTATTGCCAGTGTAGAGGTGCTCGCAGTGGTGTACAGGTGTTCGCCTCCCCTTTCGCTCGCAAACAGTCCGCTAGAGTTCACTACACTCTCAATACATAACAAATGCATTGAACGCACGGCTTGTCTATGGCATAGGAGGGGGTCAGTGGGCAGCGTAGGAGGTTTGGGTGGGGGTTAATGGCATGGGTGGGGCATCGCATACAGTTGGGTGTGTTTTGTGGTATTTCTATAATGGTTAATTTTATTTATTATATAAGTTTGTATAAATTATAATTTTGCTGACAATATTAAAAAAGTTTTATAATTATATTCTTGAATCTTATAATAATATTCTTTGAATACATGGGAATAATTGAATAATTTAAAAACAAAACCCCTTTTGAATTAATAAAATAAGTAATCGTTTAATTATATAATTGCTTAGAAAGCATGAAATAAAAATAAAACAGTTTAGGGAATGTTTAAATTGTATTGAATGGCAGAATATATGATAAAACAGCAAATATTTATCACGATATTTGGTATAATGTGCGGAATTCTACAATAAATAATTAAATTTTCGCAAAATTTAATGTATTTGTCTACAAATATGTCGCTATTTCTATATATAGTAATAGATCCTGTTTAGAAATAAATGTAATTATTTTAAAAATTATAAGCAAATATTCTGTGCATTTGTTTATTAATTAAATTCACATCTGTTTTGCAACTCTATAATCATAATATGACGAGTATTTAATTATTACACTTATATTGATTTACGCATATTACTGTAATATATTTTTAGTTTTCATGTAAATTCTTGTAATTTATAAAATTTTGTATTTATAGAAATTCTTTAAAAATAACTTCTTATTCAATAAACAGTATATAATTTAGTAGTCGTTAGTTATTAGTCACGTTAATATAATGTAGTGTTTGATCTATTGATACAATTTTAATGATTACAGTTATAAATATTTTATTACCATTTTTCATATACTGCGTGAAATTTTAAAATGATTAAAAATAATTTTTCATGGTCTAACATCTTATTTAAGAAGAAGCTTATTATGAATTATACTGTAATTTATAGTTGTTTTATACATTTATTAATATTAACCTGTACACATTTTTAATGAATTTATAAGCAATAAAACATTTAATCAATTTTTATTAACTAAAGAAAAATAAAAATTATTTTTATACAAATATTAATTTCAATGATTGTTTTAAATACCGGATATTAAACATTAAGATAAGTTTAAATTGTTGTAATATAATGTACAGCACATTGTATTTGATTTACTGTAATTATAATTAAACGAAGAATTCTAACAATTCTAGTAATAAACATATAACATGTAATATTAAAACATAAATTTATAAATTTTACATGAATTTTGAAAACATGTTATTAGTCATATTTAATTGACTAATTTATTAAATTTAACTACATTTCATAATTATCTCCCATTTAACGAACTGTTGATACAATTAAATCAAATGATGTGATAAAACATTAGTGAAAAGTATCGATACATTTGGCACAGTGTGAGCACAAGGACTATCATCTCATATACTGTGGTCATAATTATCTCCCATTTAACGAACTGTTGATACAATTAAATCAAATGATGTGATAAAACATTAGTGAAAAGTATCGATACATTTGGCACAGTGTGAGCACAAGGACTATCATCTCATATACTGTGGATTTGGATAATGAGTTGTATTTCTAATTTAGATTTGAGTTTGAGATCAGATGTTGAAATAAAGTCAATCACTGGACGGATAGTTAAATCCTTCTTCTCGTCATAGGTTTTGATGATTTGATTATACATTTCCATTAATAGTTTTAGTGGCTTTAGTAGTACAGGTGTTGGTGCCCACAGTTGTCTCTCTATCTATCCGCTCACTCCTAACCTGTAGGGTTCGTCTGGCGTTTGAATTACAGACAATTACTTTATGGAAAGCTTTTCGGAAATTTTCTGATAAAAACGCGTACCTAAAAAACAATTGATCAAAACTTGATTAAAGTAGTTGAAAACTTTACCATTACTTGTATACGTGTTTTGAGAAAATATAGATATAATAATAACTCATTGTGTATAAAACATTGTGCTCATTTAAAACCTATAACATGGGCAAAAGTAACGCAAAAGTCTATATGTGTTTTTGTTGTTCACACAATAGATTTTGGGATACAATCAAGATTATCAGTTATGATCACTGCTCATCAAATATGATACCAAATAGTATTATAACGTTATATAAACTTTTATATCTATAAGAGAACTCATTTCTGACAATATATTTGTACTAAAAATATATCTCTCGAGTCTCTGAAAAAGTAAATACTATATCATTTGAAACGTGAATTATTTGTAGTGTTTTTCTAAAAGAGTAAATATTTAAGAAATGTAAGGTTTTTAGACAATTTTACTGATGATTGAAATTCAATGCAACCCTCGTCTCAGTTTGTGGTATAAAAGAATACAATATATACAGTATCTTATAATTGCAAAACTTAAGTATTATTTACATTATGAATATTATAAAAATAAATGTAATTTAAACTTACAGTTAGAAAAGTATTTATATTATGAATAAATTGTTTATGACTTACAGAATAGGATTCACACAACTGTTCATATAAGCTGTAATAAAAATATAAATTATTAATTATAACAATAGGATTATAAGTTTATTAATGATAATAGTTTAGTTTATTTATTAGTGTATATAATTTTAAAATTCAGCAAATGATTTAACTTATGGTTAAAATGCTAACATTAAATGTTTGATCCATAGCTATCAGTTTGATTAAAATATATATTACAGTATATTCTGTATTTTATATTAAAATATTTATCTTTATACCTTATAGCAAAGTACTGTCAATACTATTTTTCAATATTTCATTTGTTTTAATATAACACTTCATTGTATTGAATATAAGAATTTCATTTTTCAAAACAAATGCAATTTATTAAACCTTTCCTTTTTTGTCACAAATCTAAAAAATCTGTTTTTTCAGTTTTCCTAATTCACTGTGAATTCCAAACATTAAACTTAATAATCTCTACGAAGAAAAACTTTTACAAATTAATTATTTTTTCCATTAAGAATACATTAGAAAAGCAAATCATATTTACTTCTCCTCTAAAGGATCACAATAACAAGAATTTACCTAAAGTTCTCTCAATAGTAAAGAAATTTTTGTTGATTTGCTTAGAGATTTGTTAGAGTTTTGTGAAAATACCGGTACTCTCTTTGAATTGTACTTATATCTGTTGGCACAGAATAAAATTGTGCCTTACATTTGAATACATGGATTGCAAAAACTTTCAAAAGTCAAAGTTATGTAACTTTCAAAGCATATCAACAATCTCTTTTGGTAAAGTAACTTAAATGTAGGGTTCACATAATGTTACCGTTTCATAATGAATTTGTCTTAGTGGTACATATGGTCTTATATGACAGTATATACTAAATATAGTATTAGAGGTATTTGTTAAAATTGTGTATCAAAATGAGTGAATATTCGGCTATAAATAAATATAGATTTTGTTAAATTGTAGTTCAAACTAGTGTTAAATAGTATTACTTTAATTTCGCAATAAACAAAATGGGAATTTTGTTATTTATGATTATAACACCAATAATAATATAATTTTAATTAATGGTAATGTTTATGTGTTTG